CCAGGGTTCGTGCAGCAGACGCCGAACATCTGCCACAATAACAGTTTCTGTATCCCAGGCGAGGCGAACGAAGAAATAGGTTATGTGCGGCGGAAGAGCTGTTCATTCGAGAGAACGTGCGACCTCGCTTAGCTCTGGGTGGCCTTCGCTGCTGACGAGTAACGGAAAGGAGGCGACGCGCAGTCAAGGGCTCCGAGGGCGGAAATTTTAAAATTGTACCCGTCCCCTGCTTAAGCCCGACTTCATTCTATTCCAGCCCGAATTAAGCCCGATCTACTTACAGTCTGCCCTGACTGTCGTATCACTAAATAGATGATTCTTTTAATGCGCATGCGCCAGTGATTCTTAAACGACTCTATATGAGCATCTGAAGTTACTTTGTCGTTTGAGGAGCGGTAGAAATTTATCGAATGACAAATATGTAAGGTGTTATCTCCAAGTACTTCTGGGAGGGGGCAGGCACGGAAATCCCCGAGAAAATCAAGTCAGTGGGATTTTTTACTTACGAAAAAATAATAATGGTCCAAGGAAGACCGAAATGTTCTTTGTAGCTTTCGATTGTCACAACGTGAACTCGGCCTAGACCCAGACATTTTTTTGTACTATAAAATCAAAGCCCGTGCAGACCAGAACTCGAGAGCGACTTGGCATTGGTCGGTGATTTCTGGCAAACACCTCCGTGGTTTTATATTTTCTCGAAAAAAAAAAAAAGGGAGACTCGGAAAATATGAGTTGGCACCTTTGTTGACGTTGAACCTAACCCAACCTCAGCACAAACTCATCTTCAAATACGACTCCTTTAATCATGAATGTCCTATCTTAAATCCAATTATATTATCCCGTAAAAATTTAACAATTGCCCAGGTAGTCTTATGCGACAATCAAGGGTCAGTCGCCATTTTCACCTTTTTTTTTGACCTATTCTGAACGAGTTTAATCGTATCTCGTTCTTCACGCCGTTTTCTCTAAGGTCCATTTTAATAATATCCTCACAACTACGCCTAGGTCTTCTCACTCTCTTTACTTGAGGTTGTCTGATACGCGTTTTTTGATTCGTCCATGCTTGTTTTATAATTTATCTATGTCATTCTCCTTGATTTATTCTTCCTCAGGACGCAAAACACTAAATTGTTCGCTGTGTATATTTAACCAGCCTGCAATTTGCACTGATGTGCTTTCGACTGTCTGAATATGTTTCATACGAAATATATGAACACTGATAATTGTTTTTACTGGTTCCAACTCTAAGGGCTTTTAAGTCTTAACTTCAGGAAACTAAAACACAAAATCAGACTGTAAGATTTCAGGTTCTCAAGGCAGTGAGATTGGTATTATCTGTATGACAATGGCTGATGATGGAGGTACCAAGTTTCTCTGAAACGTCAGTAAACAGCCATTGTTAAAATCAAAGTTTTATCTGTCAAATCTGAGGAATATTTAGGGTTAAGACACGAAGAGTGCATGCAGAATATAACAAAAACCTATTAAAATAAACCCAATATATTTTTCGCGCTGTCACACTCATGGAAGATGAACAGACACTTTAGAAATATTATAAAATGCAGAAATTCTACATTGAAATACCCAATAGAAATTATGGAATTAAAAAATAACCCTGTTTTGACGTCATCCATTGCGTTGTTAAATAGTATCACAGATGAGCAAAGGCAGCACTGTACTCTACTATGTTATATTAACTGTGATATTATGCCTAGGAATACAACAAACCCACTTCCTGCCGTCAGAACGCTAGTTATAATCGTGGGTTGGCGAGTGCTAGATTCGAGTGCTGACATAAGATCGAGCAATTGTAAGTAAAATCATAAAAATAACATATTTTCAGTTATTAGCCATAAGATAAATAACAGCTCGATAAGATCATTATTTTACATGAACTGAAGAATATGTGCGGTTATAATTCACCGGAAAATATAAGTCAGTAATTACACGTAAGTAACCATAACCAAAAAATTGTAGGAACAAAAGACATTCGCCTACGCCATTTTAAGTCTTATAAAGCAATTAATGTGATCTTTTGCGCGTGCGCCAAACATTGACCTTATAACAGCTGCAATTTCGTGTTGTGGCATTTCGTTCAGTGAACTATACGACGCCATCTACAGTTACGCCGCGTATTTAAAATCATGACGTACAGAATGTTGCTTATTTACAAAGTGGGACTTGCTTTCATGCTGGGCGTAGCAATTTTGCAGCCTGGTAAATTAAGTTTTAACGGGACACCGTTATATTTAATTCGAACTCCATTGTCCCGCCCCTGTACAGCCTTGCGTGTGGCTCTCGTCATTTTATGACTGTTTATTTTCAGTGATGCGCCCTGAGTTTTTTTTTTAAACATTTGCATGCATAACGGTTTTTGTGAAGACTATTGTCTTGTTTTCTGTAAATGGTACAGTAAGCCTTCCTCCGTCGTCTGTTTATCCAATGCGGATTCGATCACAGGCGTGGGGAAGTAAATCCTGATAATTATTTGTCGAACGGGGAAAATTCGATTCTACGCGGTTGGGAAAAAAAAACAAAAAACATACGAGAACTACCGCTGACGCATTTGTAAACTCAAAAAAGGAGACGACGTAGAAAACGAGATTTTGGTGTCTACTGGGGGGGCGAGTATGAATCCGGCCATCTCCCGGGATATTTTGAAATTAACCGACGTTTCAGAGATGTTTACTATCTCCATTGTCAGGGCGATGATGATCGAGGCTATTGGTTACTGAAATATCTTCTGCATTGTTATTTCGGATTGAGGTTTTCACAGCGTTGGATATTTTGATGTATGTTTTTTAGAGGACTTATATAGGTGGACACCATCTTTAACCCTGAAAATGGAGGCAGTATATTCCTCCGAAACAAGACTTAATGGTGTTACTTGTCAGTAGACAAACCTCATAGATTCTTTATTTCGTTTCTGTTACGTGGTGATAGTATTCTGTTTGTTTTGGTCAGATTTCTGAACTGATATTAGTTTAATTTCAAGTTGTATTCTGATTCTGGTGCACTGTGTCTTGCGTTAGGTAGTAGGCTGTGTTTTGAATGGGACACTCAGCAGCACCAAGTAACCTCAGACAAGTGTTCTGCCACAACCTGAACCATTTCTGATACTAGATACAGACGTTAACCTGCAAGCACAAGTCCTCCATGTTGGAATTGAATACGAGGATTAATCTTCCCGTCTCTTATGCTAAATTATGTTTAAAATAGTCAGTGCTGAGGTATAATTTTACCCGCTGTTTTGTATGTCTGTGAAACTTTCTCTATTATCACGAGGGAAGAGACTGAGCGCTGTAGCTCAGGCGGTTAGCATCTCATAGCAAAGGCTCGCGTTAGCAACCACGCGGCATTTTTTATGGACAGAGCAACACTGGGGTCGCCTTCGATGGACTTACTGGACCCAAGGCTGGGAGATTCGGAGGGGGAGTAAAGCTGGATAAGCTAAATTCAGCGGCCATTTCTCACACAAGTCTCTCCTGATTCACCGCTAGATGGCTCTAGTGAGTAGAAATTGTACAGAGGCAGTGGGCCTGTCACTCACTACTCACAAATTCACACTTGAGAGACCAAGAAACGTCCGAAAGGAGACGGTCAAGACCCACAGTGGGTTATAGAGCCACAAGAAGAATAGATTTTCGCTTCACGCCTGTCTGTGTCATTCCATCGCCGCAACATATTAATTAATTTCCTTAAGGGATGTACAAATGTCCCTTTACAGGAGTACCACTGATGGGATTTTTTGAACTCGGTTGCGAACCGCAGGGTTTCTTACAAAATTTTATTCCTTAAAACGCAACTCGAGAGATCATTCAGGAGACTTGGGAGTAGATGGAAGGTTTTCTTCAGTTCGTCTTATCCCTTTGAAGCCAAAGCTCGAAAGAATTATATTTAAGAATTTGAGTCCGTACCGCGAAGAAAACACAAGACTTCACCGTTACAAAGATCAACTGGTTAACTCTGTTTACGGAAATAATCGCTGTTTGCAGTGAGAATTATACAAGACTTAAAAATACAAAATGTCCACAGTTACTGGTTCTTCAATCAACTGGTGCATATAGCCTACTTTCGACTGGGTTTTAAATTGTAAAATAATTGAGTGTGAACGGGACTTCCTTTCTGAAGATAGGGACCAAAGGTAAGTCCATGTGGACACGATAATGTATGGTCTAATTCCACAAAAGACGGGACCAGTTGACCGAATATCGGAGTCCGATGAAAAGGGCTATTCCGCATGGAATTAACATGGAACGTGAGACGTTTCGTGAACTCACCTGTCTGCCCGAGCTCGTGAAGTAGCTGCAGGTATCGTACATGCCGAGGATCCACGTGTCCCAGTTGCTCAACTCGGGCAACTTGAAGTAAGGGTAACACTGTCGAAAGCTGGTGCACCGCCCCAGAACGCCCTTACTGCTGAAGCAGGGCCCCACGGGCAACCCGCCCGGCCACCCCACGAACTGCCGCTTGTCCCGCTGGTCCAGGGACACCTCGTCCTCCGTCCGAAGAGCTGCGAACATAACCTCAACCTGGTCACACCGTGTAGTTTGGGACGTATCGAAACATTTTTCAGAGGATAGTACTGCCTCCTTGGTCAGGGTGAATCCATACTACACGGTACTACGTCCCAGAAGACATAACCTCAAATTATAACAGTTATTCAGTGTTGCTATTGGCATTTGCTGATGATGTTAATTTATTGGGGTACGATATGAATACAATAAAGAGAAACGCAGAAGTTTTACTGGAGGCTAGTAGACACGTGGGGCTAGAAGTGAGTCTGTTGCACGCGGCATGCGTAAAGTTGTTGCTCGGATGTCCTGTTCCATGTCTTTTCTGTAAGGTGTAGTTACTTCGTTTCTGGCTGCGTATTGTTAGGCGTTCTTTGCGGAACGCAGTGAACAGCATAATAACCAGGCATCCTGAAAACATGCCTGTGAACTGACAACTTGAGAACAAATCACCGCATTGGTTATCCTGGTTTCTGAGGCTTGATTTTTATTTCTACGCGATCCTGTTTAGACCAGTTCCGGGGCCCCTCAAAGGTTGACAAAGGACATTTAAAGACTTGAACTGGATGCATTTGGTGTATATTAATCCTTTACAGCCGAAAGAAATCCGTCCGTACCTCAAAGAAAACACTACACTCCGTCATTACGAAGATAAACCGGTTAATGCTGTTTCCATGTTTGCATTTAAAACCACCCGAAACAAAATTAAGATTTGCTGATCGTTAAAGCAGGCGGGACATCGTAGAATGCAGTCGTGAGAAGTCGTTTTGATTTTATCTCTTAATCGCCAATTGTATTCGGCGAGGAGACGAGAC